TGAAGTAGCTTAGAATTTGCGGGAAATCATTGGGCTTAGCTAATACTAGCGTGTCGTCAACAAAACGAGTATAAAACTTAATAGTACTTACTAAACTAAGCTTGGGAACAATAGACTCTTCTAGTTCAGTCATTAAAATATTAGCTAAAACTCAGGGGGCCAAGAGGCGAACCCATTATTACATGTAAATACAGTTTTAGTACAGCAATCTCTAAGTATATCTAAGAAAACCAGGTGAGTTTACAAGCCTACCTTCGGACACTATTTAATAGAAATGAACTAACTGAAACTGAATACAAAGAAATTCGTCCAGTATCAACCATGCCTGCTACAGCCCATGGACTACCTAAATTACATAAAGATTTTGATAATATTCAACCCCAAAGACCTATTATTGACACGACCGGTAGCCCACTTGTTATTATTCAGTAGCCAAGTTCTTATCAAACTTATTAGGCCCTCTAACGGTTAATGATTTTGTCCTTAAAGATTCTTTTGATGCTGCTGACCGCATTAAAGCTATACCAAACAATTTATATAATTTAGGTTACCGATTTGTATCTTTTGATGTTGAATCTCTGTTTAAAAATGTTCCCCTTACTAAGGTAATTAATATAATTCTTGATAGGGTTTACAATAAGAAACTGATATCTACTAACCATAATAAAAATTCGCTAAGGAAACTACTGTACTTAGAGATTGCTGTACTAAAACTGTATTTACATGTAATAATGAATTCTATAAACAAACTGATGGTGTCTCAATGGGTTCGCCTCTTGGCCCAGTTTTAGCTAATATTTTAATGACTGAACTAGAAGGGTCTATTGTTCCCAAACTTATTGAATCAGGTACTATTAAGTTTTATACTCGTTTTGTTGACAACACGCTAGTATTAGTTAAGCCCAATGATTTCCGCAAATTCTAAGCTACTTTAATGTTTATCATAGACAGATAAATTTTACTTTTGAATCATTTGAAAACAGTGACACAGTACACTTTCTGGATTTACAATTTAACAACAGTGAGGAAGCATGAGTATATATCGTAAAAATACACATACAGGTCAATATGTCCATTTTGGTAGCTTTGCTCCATGGAACCATAAGATCTCCTGGATTCGTAGTTTAGTTTCTAGAGCCCACAGATTGTGTCATTTTATATCTACTAAGGATCAAACCCCTAAGGAGTATAGAAGTTCTGTTGTCTATCATTTTAAATGTCCAGACTGCAATAGTGATTATATTGGTAAGACAGATAGGTGCTTAATAACTAGACTTAAAGAACATTCTTCACGATCTGATAGTGTTATATTTGATCATGTTAAAATCTGTGAGGCATTCCAATATGTTTTAGGATTACAGAATATACTTGAAAATGATAATGTCGTCTGTAATGTAAGTAATAAATTAGGTTTAATATTTTCTAGTACTAACATTATTGACAGCTCCCGAAATTCTAAGCTACTTTAATGTTGGTCATAGACAGATAAATTTTACTTTTGAATCATTTGAAAACAGTGACACAGTACACTTTCTGGATTTACAATTTAACAACAGTGTAGGAAGATTGAGTATATATCGTAAAAATATGGCACATACAGGTCAATATGTCCATCATGATAGCTTTGCTCCATGGAACCATAAGATCTCCTGGATTCGTAGTTTAGTTTCTAGAGCCCACAGATTGTGTACTCCTGATAAACTTCAAACAGAGCTTAGTAACATCAGGAAGTTTATGTCTTGGAATGGGTACCCTTTAAAAGTTGTTAATAATGTACTTAAGAAATTAAATGAACCTAAATTTATACACAGGCATACTGATGATAGCTTGATTAAGAGTTGGGTTAGATTGCCATATCTAGGAAAACCAGGTGAGTTCATTTTACGTAGATATTTAAATAAGGTAAAGAAACACTTAATTAAAGAGGTAAAATTCATAACTTTATGGCAGTATACAAATGTTTCTCATTTTATATCTACTAAGGATCAAACCCCTAAGGAGTTCAGAAGTTCTGTTGTCTATCATTTTAAATGTCCAGGCTGCAATAGTGATTATATTGGTAAGACAGATAGGTGCTTAATAGCTAGACTTAAAGAACATTCTTCACGATCTGATAGTGTTATATTTGATCATGTTAAAATCTGTGAGGCATTCCAATATGTTTTAGGATTACAGGGTATACTTGAAAATGATAATGTCGTCTGTAATGTAAGTAATAAATTAGGTTTAATATTTTCTAGTACTAACATTATTGACAGCTCCCGAAATTGGTCTATCCTATTGTTTAAAGAAGCGTTCGCTATACGTAGACTACACCCTTTTCTTAACAATGGGCTCAGAGCTTCAAAAGAACTTTCTTTGTTTTTGTAGGTATCTTTGATCATTAGAGTAAGAATGCTTTGATCTTTTGTTTAAATCACTGCTATGTCACCTACTAGAGGTAATGTTTTGATTGGTTAAACACTTTTGGTACTAGTGCATATAAGCTTGTTAATATGGATAATTTTTTTCATTCCTGATGATGACATAATTAATGTCGAAATATTGAATCCCAACACGATGGCGTGTATTTCAATATTTGGAGTATGTATTATACTTTCTTATCTGAGATTAATCAGTGGACCTTTTGGTTTTTGACTACTATTAGATTAGATTACAATACGTCAAACTGGAGGTAATAATATAATTTGCGACATTTCTTAATACATCATGTTGAGAGAATGTTTAAGTCGTTTAAGCATACATTATCCTTGGAGAGCCTCACGTGCCAGTGGTGGATTTACAATTTAGTGATAGGGGTGACCACAGGTGGCCGTCGAGATGACGAGCCCCGAGCTAGCGTGGGGGGGTTTGGGAGTCCCCTTCCCGAAAGTAAGGATTAAAAAAAAAAGTGTTTAGACGCTCTTATAGAGCATTCTGGCTTACGTAAACATTTTACAGTTCGTATCTATTAACGGTCGTCATCTCGAGAACTTACTTTTTAAGCACACCTTTGCAATGCAATGCGTTAACATTTTATTTGTTAAATTCTTCCGTACTAGGGTATGGTGCAATCTACCTGTAAATGTTTGTACTGTAATGAACTACTTTTTTTCCAACTTTACTCTCACTTTGAAATTTATCGTTTAATGAAACACTGCCCATGGCTATTCGTAGGGATACGAGTAGTGCTGTGATTTGCTAAAGGAACGAGGCCTTGTATATAATACACAATCTAAGCGCATTCTGACTTTTTAATTTAAGTTGAATTTTTACATTTAGACAGGCCAATAACATAAATGCATCAAACAGAAAAGGAAATATCCACCTTCACATAAATGATATCAGCAAATTAATATTATACAGACTGTATTTATTGTTAGCTGGATTTAAACAAATATTTATTTAAATGCAACGCCCATAGTTTGAATCTATATAAGGAGTACCTACACGCCTTCTTGTACGCATTAAAAAAAATATGGACAGGCCATAGCATCAAATTATTTAATATAAAAGGTTTTCAAACAGAGGATAAAAGTATATTTTTACCTTTAATGTATCAGTTAGCAACCGACATGTACAGTATTATGAAAACTAAAAATTGAATGTAGCTGAAAGCTGATAATATAAACCAGGAATTTAAAACCAAAATTTAAAAATGTAATTATAAACTTTAGCAGTCGATCTGAATGCATATAATTAATGATGTAACAATAGTATAATAATGATTTCTGACAAAATGGCCTGGAATAACATGATGAGCAAGTTCCGTACTTAGTTTCCATCTGTACTATGCATGCTACGCTTTCCCTTTCCATTCATTGTTATTGTTAAGAATTATTCTATCTTGACTTTTTACATGTGGGAAAACGGAATGTTGACAATAAGAACGATAGACAGGTCTGCATCATGTTTTGACCAAAGCCTATCAAGCCTTAAAAAACTAGCTAGAACTTTTACAATTTGGATTTTTTTTCAGAATGGAGGGGGGGGGGGGGGTTGGCTTATATCTGCCACTGCGTGTATTTTCAATGTGATGTTTTCAGAAAAATGTTTTGTCAGTCTTTCAACTTCAATATCTACGAACATTATGTTGTCAGAACAGTATTTATTTTTAATTCTTTACATGGTAATAATTAGCATTAATTCTGTTATTTTGTTCATTGTTATAAGATTTGATCAATTTTAATGCTTATTTTCCGAAGCATAATACATTAGTGTCGTTTTTGTGTTTTCCGAAGCATAATACATTAGTGTCGTTTTTGTACATATACGGCCTACACATTTTTGCATATTCTTAATATCAAATTTTCTTTGGCAAAAACCTGCCGTATGCCCATATATAGTCATGATGTGGTTATATATCATGATGTCATCATGACCCTATTTAGGCATGTCACATGTTTTTGTCAAATACAATTTGTTTTTCTGGGCAGAGCTTAACAACATGTTGCATGCCATAATAACAGAGATGTTAGGGGACCAACAATTGAGTCCTGAAATACTTTGCATACAGTAATCGGACAGTGTTATTGATAGGCCTATTAGTTAATTGGGTTCTTTTAGAGATACTGTATAACCATTTACAATATTGTACATGTGCTGAAAATCCATATCTCAATTTAGCTAATGTAGATTTTATGATTTATCTAATTAGAAAACATTTCATATAATTATAATAATGAACTCGCTATTCCATCTATTGGTCGAATTTAATTCGTCGTTGGAGGCGCGCACTGTTAGATTGGCAATTCACGATACAAATGTTTGCATCGTTGCAAACTTTTACTTTATCGTCTGCGGATAGTGTTGCACATTGATACTACTAATCGCATCTGACACCTCGGCTCCCAGAAATATTTGAGCTGGTTTGATGAACATGTAGACCTATACGTAGTATTTTTTAGAAGTCAATCAAACGGACAATTAGCCGTCAGAGTGGTAGTATTGATGACACTAAATCTACACTTGTTAATGTAAGTACAGTACTACTTTGGTGTTTTCCTAATACAGTGGACTGGCCTCGTTCCTAGTCTTTATCATCATCATAATCGTCGTCATTGTCATTGTCATCCTCAGCACAACCCTCATCATCATCATAACCATCATCATCATATCATCGTCATCATCATCATCAACATGATGATGATAATTATCATCATTATCTTCAGTGTGTGGAGCTGAATCATTAGTATATAAGATGCTTACCTTCACATCCCAAGGTCCTGGGTTCAATTCCTGTCACAGCATGGCTTTTTCTCATGACTAGAAAACAACCCCATTTTCCTATAGGCCTACTCAGCTTTAATAAATGACTTGGTGTATAAAGCATCGTTCCATCCTGTAAGTGGCGAATGTACTTGCTGTTGGATATGAAGGAAATAAAATCATCATCATCATCATCATCATCGTCATCATCATCATTATCCTCATCATCATCATCATCCTTTGTAGGCCTAAATATTATTTTGATTGTGTTTTGTTGTATTATGGATATCCATGCATAACCAAGATAACTTCACAAGAAACAGAAATTATTGTATAGCCATTAATTGTTTTTATTACCGTAAATGCTCGAATAAGTGCCTCACCAAACCGGAATTTTTTCACTAAGCGCTGCTCTCGAATAAGCGCCGCGTAAATTAATCGAGAGTATGAAATAAAACACTTTAAAAAACAGGGTTTTAAATACTATGTATATAGCGTTGAAATAAATAAATAACACAATGAAGACATATGTATTTCTTTATAAACGTTTGTATATGATGACGTAGGACTTATGGTAGGCATACTGAACTACGGGAGTACTTGAGATAAGTAACATTACATGCATGGAAAAATGCCACGCCACAATGTTTTCTTTATAAGCGTCGCTCTCGAATAAGCATCGCACTGAAGCCTCCAAAAATGGTATAATCACTTTGGCGCTTATTCGAGCATCTACGGTATAATACATTGTTTTGTACTTATTACTTTCACATACAACAGCGACAGACATAACAATTACATGATGAATTTAATGCTCCTTTTTTTTTAAATTAATTATTTTTTTGTGATAATGATCTTCTTTTAAATGTTAACGTCTTGTATCTTCCGACATTAAGCTTTCTAATATTTTATTCAATTTACTCTACGGTATAATACATTGTTTTGTACTTATTACTTTCACATACAACAGCGACAGACATAACAATTACATGATGAATTTATTGCTCCTTTTTTTTTATTAATTATTTTTTTGTGATAATGATCTTCTTTTAAATGTTAACGTCTTGTATCTTCCGACACTAAGCTTTCTAATATTTTATTAAATTTACTCTGGCAAGAAAACACGGGAAAAGTGCAAAATTTCCACAAATCGACAATGTAAGCCAACGTGAAACACGGGTGTTTGTGCGACAAGCACGTATACTAAGCCCTGTTCTGATTGGTCAGTGGTTTGATCAGCACTTCAGAAGGGTCTCGTTATTGCGTCGAGTTTACGCAAAAGAAAGGGTGCTCGTGTTTTTATATCGCAGTTTATTTACGCCAGATTCGTGGGAAGAACTGCAAGTTTTGATATTTAAACTATTATTTCGGCAAATTGATTGAGGCCTGTCCCGTCTGAGACTTGAACGTTCGGTACATCCCAGTTAACAATATTACGTTATAAGAACGTTATTTTGTAGAACCATAATGTACGTAGTTATAACCTAATTTCACGTCACAACGTTTGAACGTTTTTACAACGTAGTGTGAACGTTATTTTGTGACATACCTACCCACAACTTTCGCGAACGTTATAAGAACGTTTTGTGTTTGGTGGGATGCTACACTAAATTAACAAAGTAACTAATGAAAAGCTAAATTATAAGCCCGTAAAACATCAGTGACTTTTTCTTTGTACTTATATACAGTGTTCTAGGAAATTAGGGTGATAAATACGCACGTCCTTCAGGCGACAGTGGATTTTCCGCTTTTGTGACTCCTGAGCCGTCATGCCAAATGAATAAAATAAAATAAAATAAATAAAAATAATACGAATTCGCGTGTTTACACAAGGAAATTGGAATACTATATAACTAACGTAAATTTGAAATTTGTAATAATGTATTTTGTTTTTCATTTTATTACCCAGGAAAGTGCACAGTATATGCTTTAGCACTTTTCTTCACTAACGCAGAATATCTTCGAAATTCATGTTGTATTTTAATATTATTTATTATCTAAATAATTAAAAAATGCGTTTTTAATTTTTTTACGGGAAATTCTTTCTTTTTAAACATATTTTTTTCAGGATAACAAGACGAAGCCAAGTTAGAGATAACGACCGATAAAAAGTGTAAACAACTAGTTCGGCCGTCAACATTTTCATAGAATGATTGTTAATAGGACTCAATTTATCCTTTTCATTCCGTTAATCCGTTTGGCTTTAAGTGTAGGATCGTATGGAGTAACTAGTGATATTGTACTAAGTGTCATGCTGCCGTACACTGGTAGGTGGCCAATTGGTTCGCACATCGCTACTGCGGCTGCAATAGCCGTAGATGACATTCAAGGAAACTCATCTCTTTTACCGAACCGGTCCATCGCGGTAATTTTGAATGATACGAAATGCGAGGCCGTTGTAGCATTACCCAAAGTGATTAACCTTCTGTCAAACGAGGTGGTAAATGGCCTGCATGGATTTATCGGTGGCGGTTGTAACAGTGTCTGCGAACCTATTGGTCTGCTGGCAGCGGCTTTCAACCTTCCCATGATTTCATGGGGCTGCACGTCGACATCATTGTCGGATAAACTTGAGTATCCTACATTTGTTCGGACTGTTGGCCCTTACTACAAAGTCACACCAATGATTCTGGAGATGTTCAGTCGTTTTAACTGGTCAAGAGCTGCCATACTTTACTCGAGTGAAGAAGCTTGGCAATTAACATCTTTGAAAGTTCGAAATATTATGCAAGATGCAGGGATATTTATTTCGCAATACTATAGTTTTGAGCCTGGACCAGAGAAAAATATATTTGAAGATAAATCGTTTACGGAAACACAAAATAAAGCTAGAAGTAAGAGAACGATTTCAATACACAGAATTTTATTTGTAATGTAACATAGTTGCACGGGCTATTCTCATTAAACAAAGTTAAAATAAATAAAATGTTTAAAGTACCGAAATGAGCAATTGCCACATTAGCCGTGACATGAAGTCAATGAACCAAGTACAGATTAATTGATGATATAGGTTAACTTATATAGCTCTAATGGGCCATCAGTATTTCTATCTAAATAAACCATGAATGCCTTTCACACACTAGATGCATACTAGATCATGTATTGGTTGGTAACATATTTTTGAAATTTTAAAGCCATGAAAACATGTTCTGATATGTTGTACAACTTTTTTCCCACCCTTTCTCCCGGGTTTTTAAAAATTAAGAAAAATGTTTCCTTACATTACAACATATCTGAGTTTTCGTCAAACATCTTCCCAAATATGTTTTTCCTCCGGAGCATGGCTTTAAAATTCCAAACCAGTGTATCATAACACCATCTTTATTACAGTAATCTTGATATTTGGATGCGGAGGAGATGTTCGTGATGTCATGCTGCACTCACTTGATCTTGGCATGATCAATGGCGAATACATCTTTTTCACCGTCGATTTATTCGACTACGCATACGTAGGAAACAACACTTGGATGGGAGATGACGGCAGGGATGATGACGCCCTCTTGGCGTTTGGCAGCATCTTCAATATACACATACTGGAGCCAAGTACACAGAGGTATAAGTATTTTACGGCTGAGGTCCGGAAGAGGATGGCAACTGATTTGTTCGGCGACTCTTTCAACGCGGAATATAAGGTAACAAATTAATATGGTCAATGAAGCGCCATCTACGGTAGAATGCCAACGTTTGAAGTGATAGAGGGCGCCACAAAAATGCACATACACATACAGTATCATTATTATCTTCGCCAGGAGATATATGTTTTCAGTCGTGTAAGTTTATGTGTGTGTGGGGGGGGGGGGGCGGGGAGAGTGTGTTTGTGTGTGCGTGCGTGTGTCACACGTTTTGGTGTTTTCGTGTGGTTTTTTTGTATAGGCCTTCGACATATCTCAAAAACGGCTGCACAGACATGATTAAAAATTACAGGGAGTGTTAGGTATGGCCCAATAAAGAAATTATTAATTTTTTGTGACGGTCAGGAGTAGGGTGTGGATGTGAGGTCGACCATTTAAATGAATTTTAAAGTCCTAGACAAGATATCTCGAAAACTAATCAACTGACATGAATGAAACTTTCGTGAAAATTTAACGAAGTTGCAAGGAAGAAATGGTCAAGTATTATTCACGATCCAAATCGGGGGTGAACTTGAGGGTCATTAGAATTTTAAGGTCGTACGTGTTTCTTGTGTTCACAATATCTCAAAAATAGCTTCACAAATCTTAAATGGAAGATACAGAGAATGTTAGGTATAACCCAAGGATGAGCTGATTAAATTTTGATGACCATCCGGAGTAGAGTTTGGATATGACAACAAATTTAAAGGAAAACGTCCCAGACCAGATGTTTCAAAAAATAATTGACCTATCTAAATGAAACTTTCGTGGAAGTTTAAGCAACTTACAGGAAAGAAATTATGAAGTGTTGTGACGATCCGGGTGTGCATTTGAGGGTCATTTCAAATCCTAAGGTCCCAGACCTAAATATCTCTAAAGATAATCAATGGCTCTAAATGACACTACCCAGAACCATTCGTCATGTTTCGATAAAGAAATTTTTAAATTTTGGTGACCATCCGGAGTAGGGTGTGGATATAAGGACCATTTAAAGGAAAACGTCCCAGACCAGTTGTTTAAAAAACTAATCAACTGATATGAATGAACCTTTCGTGAAAGCTTAACCAAGGTTATTTCTATTTCCAAAATATTTCCATTTCAACACCAATACATTGTATTTTGTTTGTCAGCTATAAGAGTAAAACTTGCAAGTAAGTTAAGCCAGAACATGGCAGTAATTGGCAGGTGTACGACTGATACAATAAGAGGCGTTCGAAATGTGAAGTGTTTATATTTTGGTGTCAATTATGGACCATTCAAAGAAAGACGTCGCAGATCAGATATTTCGAAAACTAAACAACTCATCTAAATGAAACTTTCGTGTTAGTGTAATTTTTTAAAATTTTGAATACTGAATAATTTGGTAGTGCCTTTTTAAAATTACATCAAAAAATATTTTTATGAATGAGTGTTAATGACTGTCTTTTTCAGTGATGATATATCTTTTGCAATAAATTGAATAGATCTTGCTTTTACTTTCTGTTTTTAAGAATAATTGTACAGTAGGCCTATATAATTTTATAATTGTAATGGGAATATTCTTAATTGTGTGTTTTTACAAATTGAAGTAGTCTTTTTATCGAATTTAAAGAATTGTATAAAGTTATTAAGTAAGATAAGAATTATCTGAATTTTGTAGGAATTCTGTTTTTGTTAATTGTTGTCATTCTGATGCTGGTATAACGTTTATATTACCGTTATACAGTATATTAATAATATTTTTTTAACCTTTTAATTTATCTTAAGCCGAGCACTCACTGCATCGTAAGACGACGGTCATACGGACGTAGGCCGACGAATCCAACTCCGCTCCCTGTGAGCGCCAGACGACACGACGCCATCTGCTGATTGGCGGTGGTAGTCTGAACGGATCGTCATTACATACGATCCGTTGCGCGCGCGTCACTGCGTTGCATTCTCCATAAAATCGCCTCGGCCGACGACCTTAGGTCGCAGTGAGTACCCGACTTTATACCTTGTTAAATTATTTTTTTTAGGTTGATGTACACGCCGCCACGTTGTATGACGCAATACACTTGTACGCAGTGGCACTTCACGAAGTAATTGAGGCTGGAGAAGACGAATACAACGGGAGGACAATAGTTAGCAAATTGCTCAATAAAGGATTTGATGGTAAAATCAAGATGTCTAAGAAACATTCAATTCTAAATTTCCCTCAAGATATACAATAGATCTTATTTCTATCCCTCACACCTGCCTGTCTCTTATACACATCTTATATATATATATATATGCCTCTATGTCATGGATGGTTTTACATTTCTATAGCGCAACCGACTACGGTCTCCAAAACTTGTAGTTAACAAAACATGTAGCCTATATATGCAGTTTTCCTCTCACAAAACAGAACCCTGAGAACAGCTACCTATAGAAGCGTACTCATGTTAAATTGCTAAGACCAAAGGATCTATGAAAGCAATCTATTATTACCAAATGCCATAAACTAATTGGGGAGGGTTAGAAAGAGTTTGAAGAGTTTATTTAACGGTGACATACCGGTACTTACTATTGAAATACACATTGGAATATGATAGCTCATTAAAAAAAAAATCACATTTTTTTAAATTATTCTATAATGATAATAACTATTAGAAAAATATTCATAATTTCATTCAATATTACAATTTTTTTATTTAGATGATGTAATTTTCCCCAAAAGTCCCAATATAAATTAAAATGTATAATTGTGCTACTAACGTGCGTTTTTCGAACATTATATCTTATTTTGTTTTCAAAGGAATTTCAGGTAGAGTGTCTATAGACAAACAAGGAGATCGCTATCAAAACTTTGCCTTGCAAGACGTCGGAGGAAAGGATACACATGATATTGCTGAGTATTATTCAGAAGAAAAGCTTTTTATCTTTACAGATGACGTTATTATTTGGCCAAGTGGGTCCACTATCCCACCCAAAGGCCATCCGGATTGCGGTTGGGACAACGAATATTGCCAAACTCCCCTCAGTTAGTCAACAAATATTGTATCTACGCTTAGAATGCTTCTATATAAATGCATTCTTACAATCAACAAAAGTAAATTATTTTAAATAAAATTTACAAACCAATTATATTCATATTTCAATTCAATTCAATTCAATCTTAATTGTCCAATATATATATATAAAATACATCAGAAAATCTTTGTTTATACCCTGCAACATATAAAAGGTAGGAAATTCAATATATAAAAAATTAAGATACACACTTCAATTTACAATTCAAATATAAAAGTTAAATAGATAAAAGGTAAAAACAATTCCAAATTTACAATTTAAATAAAAAGCTAAATTAGATGTACTGTACAATTTAATTAATAGTTAGATAGATGTGATCCAGGTGTTCTCTCAATGGGTAGCAAAAATTATCTTTCGACATATTTGTTGTGAATTATAATAGAGTGTAGCACAAATGATTTGTTACAGCGTTTAGTACGAGTAGGTAAGGAGCGGATACATATATGGGATTAGAGAAATTCGTACTCGATGTAGAGTGGATGATCAGTTTGAGAAAGTATACGTTCTACCATGAAGAGAACACCTGCATCATATTTAAAATTAAGCTTAGAAAATGTATCCTACTGCACGCCCCACCCTTCTGGTGATCTTTGTCAACAATCTCGTATCTTTCTCATATAAGCTAGCCTCCAATATAACCCGATAGAATGAAATCACACTGAGTATCATTGATTGATAGAACATTTCTAGAATTTTTATCAATATTAAATTTCCTAATTTGCTGTTCGAAGAATCTATCTGCACTCCCTTTAAGCGCTTGACGACGCCGACGTCGTCTGCTATTGTTGCGGATGTCTGAGTGGATCGTCATCAAACACGATCCGTAGCGCACGTTTCGTTCTCCATATATATTCGTTTCAGTACAGTGTTTGCCCGGCTTATGTATTTCAATTCAAACCTGTATGATACTCTTTAATGACCTCCGTTATTGCTGTGGTTTTTTTCAGGTTGAGACATGTCTTTTTAAATATTTTACTCCTGTCGTTGGTTAGACTTCCACATCAGTTTTCATTGTATTTTGTTATATATATTTGACCATCAAAATACACATTGGGGCCAATAAATAGAAATATAAATAGATATAAATAGATAATTATAATTCAGGTCAGAAATATTTAAAGTAAAAAGTTATTTTGACTCATGAAGAGTCAGCTGTCTCAAATAATTATTATGAATCTAGATACAGTAATATACAAACGAAAAACAGAGTAAGGTTAAGAATGCAATTGTTTTTTTTCTAGAAATAGATTTTTAATACCGTTTAAGGATTTAAAATCTGTCAATTTTTAATTTTAAAAAATTCCACCAACAGGTTTTGCGAGTATAATTGGAGTGTCAGTTGGAACGACATTTAGTGTGGCTTTTGTTCTGCTATGCGTTCTCGTCGCGTGTATGTGCAGGAGGTATAGTTTCGAACTCTTTCAAACTCATCTAGGAAGTCAAAGACAAAAGGGAGCTTTCGATTTGAGCTATGACGTGACCGTAGAACGGAATCACTCATACGTGACCGTAATGTGTCCTGGAATAGACCTTTCCGGAGTGTCAATCAAACTTAACAACTGACTAATCAGAACAGCGCTAGGAATACGCGCGCGTCTCACAAACACACGCGTTGTCCCACAAACGCACGTGCTCGCTATGTTTTAACACTGTCGCCTTGTGGGACCTTAGCAACAATATCCAAGGGGCGGGGCTTAGCGGAAAGGTCCATTCAGACTAGAACTCAACATTGTCGTATGGGCAGATGACTTTATGTGACGTCATTACTTTCTAGATTTTAAGTTTGGTTTGCATAAAATCGCTACACAATCTATACAGCGTTTTCAATGAAATCTGTGCACTGCGTAGCTCTCCCCATCGCAATCGGGACGCTCCCTGATTCAACTGACCAACGATTTTTTTTTATAGAAACCAGGCTTTAACGTCGTCGCTCGAATCCAAAGCGTCCTGTCAGTAATTTACTTTTGTGCACTTGTAGATCGAGTGAGCAGGCAGCTCTTCATGTGTAGGCATATTTACCCGATTGATGAGTGTGCATTGGTTTGCTCAGGGAACAGTGAACTGTTCCCTGGTTTTTTGCTGACACGTACGAATAAACATATTTGTAATGGATATAAATGTATGAATACACAAGTTTACCTTCGTTAGTAAATTTTCTAAATATATTTAAATGAATTATTCAAATCGAATGTTTTACATTACATTTTCAGATACTTTAATTATGAATTGGTGCTAAACAATTTCAAGTTATGGCTGGTTGACTACGATGATATTGATTTTAGGCTCCAAAAATCACAATATAATTCGGTATGTAAATAATATTTTATGATTCTATTACATCGTTTTGTTAAACCAGTACGCCGGGGTGCGAACTCGTCTTGAAAGATGTACTGGGTTCTTTTGAAATGTGCAAGAGCCAATTGTGTAGACTGGGCCTACGGTTTATAGTCGTTACCGAGTGACTTGTTTCACCACCAGAGACCGATAGGCGAGTGTGCCGCTCGGACTATTATCATAAAATACTTTTTTTATATTTTTTTATGGCGAATAAGAATTATCAGTGTCAGTATATTAAGGGTAATTATCATAAATCATCAGACATATCTTTCAGAGACCGCGTTCGGTAAACAACAGTTCGTCAAACACGTCAGCCAAGAGTGTGGGTAACGGAGCGGATAGTAGAACAACCTCTCCTAGTTGTTTTATTCCTGTCGATAGCATGAAATACTGCAGAGTTGGTTACTACAAAGTACGTATAGAATATTCCGACGAGAAATGTATACACACCGTGTCAAAACTAGTAACACCTAGTAACTTAGCAAAGAGAGGTCACTCAATATATTAATTTCATGAAAAAAACTTCCTAGTACTTAATAGATTCCTTGGAAATTTTGAAATGCTATTATAGTTTGCTAATTCATCTAACAGGGAAATGTTGTGGCCGTCAAACCAGTGAAAAAGACAAGTGTACTATGGAACCGAGAATTATTCATTGAGATGAAAATGGTAAGTGGTTAGATGACATAACCTTTGTAAATTTAGAATATTGTAACGGACCTGGTCATTGTCAGGATGTCCACGGGTTCGGCCAGAGCTTTGGGCCCTGGACCTCAGTAAATAACAAATAATGTACGAACTCAAATATCACTCTCCAGTATCTCCGATTCAATTAACATTTTCAGCTGTGATTACTCATCCTATTACGCCCACGTAATGACAATAATACATAATACGGGGCATCTCGTAGTTTCGTACCAATTTTATTCAATGAAAAGTCTGGTATCTCCCTTACCACGGAAACTCAAATAGGGGAAAACATTGGTTAGATTTTTCTTCCTCTTGTCCACTAACCAGTCCTCTAGGATAAATATAACTCCCGTCCTGACTCACACACTGGATGCTCTCGTACCGAAAGTCAAGAACTGCTCCAACTTCTAACATGGGGGGAGCTAAATTCCGCCACTAGCACCCTACCCGTATCTCTAACATGGCACGTCCATACACTTTGAGTGCTTCACTTGCTGCACTGAGGTACAACTGGTACTATATATAATTTAACAATATTAACGGCTATCTTGATTTATATTGTATATATTTATATATATATAATATATAAATTATTATTTTTCATCTATTTCACTTTGTATATATATAATTATTATTATTCATCTATCTCTTTTTATATATACAGTATATATATATATACATATATATGTATATATATATGTATATATATATGTATATATATATGTATATGATTATGTCTTCTTTTTTAAGATGATGGAGCTACAGCATGTAAATATAAATCATTTCGTTGGCGTTTGTACTGTTGCCCCTAATATTGGTTATATAATGATATACTGCAACAAGGGCAGCCTGAGGGATGTGATGGCAAACTCTGATATCACTATTGATGAGCATTTCAAATTATCATTTGCTTCAGATATAGCGCAGGTGAAGTTGTTTACTTTCTTATTTTTTACATATTTATCAATTTAATGACCATTTCCGTTAAAGCCCGCGTCACAAAACGACAGCTTATCATACATATACATAATGTTTGTGGTACATGATTGGTGCAGTTGTTAAGTTTGATTGACGTTCCGGAAAGAACCATTATCATTCTTAATAAGTCCTGGTCACTCAAGATAAGGGATAATATAGATATTATAGATTTTGGAAGTTCAATGATGAACGAATAACGCACCAACGCAAATCGAGTATAACATTAACATTTACTATCTATTTTTATCCTTATTGTTGTCGGAATCGTTATCTTTATCATTATTATTTACATTAATGTGAATAGTTTCATCTGGTTCGCTGTTTTAATCGATAATAAACCAAAAACAACGAAAGCTCGCTGAGTACGTTTACATCCATTGTGTTTGGTTAAATAACATTAAAAAAGATTTAATGTTATTCTTATTATTATTACATGCCATAAAGGATTTGACGTCATAGCAGTTTTTTCTTCTCTGAGTAGGCTTATGCCGTTTTAGATGATAAGATACTCTAAAAATAGATAAATGATTTATCATACAGTATAATATTTAGGCCTGGTTTGCTTTGTAATATGTATTTATAATTAATCATGAGGAAAGTATATCAAATGTTGGACGAAATTAATCCACAAAGATACTCAATTTCGCTTAATGTCTGATTTATATCTACTTACGGCTCTGAGCCAGGAATCAAGTTGCAGGTGTAGATATGATAAGTTACTTGAGATTATAAGTCGTCATATAATGAATGACATAGTGTTCTTAAAATATCTTTTTTTAGCTTCTTTATACTGAGTAACCTCAGCAACAGTTGGCTAGTTCGAGCCGACTCGAGCTAATCGACTGTGGGCCAGAGTAGAGTAACAAGGTCTGACCGCCGGCGGTTACGCTTTATAAACCCGCACCTTGGGCATTGTTTGTATTATTATATATATTCATGGTGCGACTATATAAGTTAATGATGTGATGTCATTATAACCATTATTTTATGCATGTCACAATTTTTATTTTTGTCAAATATAGAATTTGACTGGAGGACAGGGCTTTAAAGCCGATGATATTACGGGAAATTAATGCTTTGTATACAAAACAATTTCCAAATATTACAGAATGATCAGTTTACAATTGAATAACACTGATAAAGTTGATATGGAAAATAAAATGTTCAAATTGATAACTATAGAGGGAAGAGGGAACACAATGTCATGAATTTTTGATCCACCCCTTCCCCCATCCCCAGTGCATTCGGCCTCAAAATATTTAGTTATTTACTATAAGTTTAGACTGAATCTGTCGGCTAAATTTCTGTAACACCGGACCCAAATCTACTATGATAGGTCGAAAGACAAAAGATAAATTTGTGGTTGTTAGTTAAGCTTAAACTGTAACTCCTTTAATTTAATGAACTAATGAATTATAGTGCGTGCATGTAGAAATAAGTGTGTTTATTTGCTCTGTCCCCGGTTGAGTTTCCAATTGTCACTTGCTTGTTAATTTCTGGACATAAGGCATTTTGTCTACGGTTGACTCTGATGATATTTCTTTCAACAGTACATCAACGGGTACCTACTTTTGAGTGTTATTAGCAGCAGCAGCAGCAGCAGTAGCAGTAGCACTGCAGTAATAGACTTGTAAAATATTCATCTACTTTCATGAGCTTATGATATATTATTTAGCTAAAACAAAATATTCCATATTATTATTGTTTATTATTGTTAATATTATTGTATTATTATAATTATCATGGCTTCATTATCATTAACAGCATCATCATTACCATAATAATGATAATTATTATTATTATTAATGCATTATCGTTTATTTTAATTAAATTAAAGAATGGAATTCTTGACTACTTCAAATAGACAGCTGACCTATCAAATTTTCAAACTCTTAATAAATACATTTTAATAGATAATTCGGAAGACTCAATTTCCTTAAAACTTCTTTTATTATTTTGTGTGTTCTTTATATTTTCTTGATCCGTGACTTCGTCTTGTTTTTTCTCCATCTCTGCCCTTGGATCCCATTATAAATAAGTTGTTATAATATTAACAGCTTCCATCCTTTTTTTTTTTTTTTTTTGGTCTGTGGATTTTTTCTTTTTTTGATGAATTTTAATATATTTTGAAATTGTTATATCTTTAGGCCTATATTTTTACCATGCTTTATATTTTTTAAGTTTTTTTTTTTGGTCTATACTGTAATTTATGTTATATGGTATTTTGATTTCCAACTTTTTAATCTGTGTGCATGTTTTTTATGATGCCAAATAAAGAAATCATATCAAATAATGTTTTCCTTTAATCATAGGGATTGCTATTTCTCAGCCTTAGTCAAATGAAACATCACGGCAACCTGAAGTCCTCAAATTGTGTTGTAGACAGCCATTGGGTTTGCAAATTAACTGATTTTGGATTTAGTGTGTTTAGAACTCACGAAAGAGTGGACAACGAATTGGATGAAAACGAACAGTGCAAAAGTATGCTAATAATTAACCCGCCCTCTAACATTCATAATATGATACTGTGAGAATCAGCTATCAAGCTCAGAAATGGCTTTGTTCTAGTTTTAAATCAGTAAACAAGAATAGGCTAAAACGTTTAAATATAGCTGAATTACATGTGCTAATAGCAAGTGGTCATATTTTACTTTACACGTTTATTAACACCTTGATTACATTTTTGAAATGCCGTATTTATTCGAATAAACGCCCAGTTGTTGAGAAGGGTTTTTATTCGAGGGAGCGTTTGTTCGAGGGAGGGGTCTTTTTTTGTTTGGTGTAAAATTGATACTATATAAGCCTACTCAAATACACACCCCTTAATTTCTACAACTACAACAGATAATTGCCGTCAACATGTGTAGTGTGATACTAAAGACTTAATTATTCCAACCAGGTTAGAACAAATATAATTCTACTGGAATAGAATAATAATAGAATGTGTTGAGAATGAGCTTCAATAGTTTTGGTTACAGTCATTTGTGGGGGGTGGGGGAGGTGGGGCGTTTAATCGAGGAAAAAACAAACGCCCGCTGTGTTTACTCGATGGAGGTGCTTATTCAAAGTGGGGTGTTTATTCGATAAATACAGTAATTCTGCACAACCTTTGCCTTTTTCACTGTTGCTCAAACCCTATTGCTATTTTTAATTAGAACTACTATGGACAGCTCCCGAAATATTACGTCAGACAACTGTTGACCAAAAAAAACTGTCAATTCAGGCCGACGTATATGCCTACGGTATCATTCTTCAAGAGATCGTCCTCCGAACTGGACCTTTCGCTTCTCTACTGGAGGTTATTGAACCCAGAGGTAATCGCTTGTCATCGTTAGTAATGTGAACTTTCAATTGGGCTACAAAGTAGCTTCGGTCCAAGCCAATCCTAGGGTGCGGAAGAGGCCAAAATCTCAAAGTCCAAGTGACATCATTATACTTCATATCCTGGTCGGTCTTGTATTACATTTTTTATTCAAAAAGATCCATCATTCTTTCTCTTCTTCACTCTTCACACACATTTTGTTAAAAAATATATCTCTCAGGATAGCATGACGTACCTTTAATTAATGTAACGGTTGGGCGAGCATTTTTGAAATTGTGAATATATCCCATGTATGATATTATTACCTGAAATAATATTGTTGTTGTTTACGAGATACATTAAATACACTTTTATTTACTTTACATTTAGTTATTTTTAATATGTATAAAATTAAAATGAACAATGTGGATCGTTTAGCTTGTATGTTTCCACACTAATAAATATGCCGGCACTCACAACTGAAGGCTTCGGCCCGAGCTTTCTGCCACAGATTTTGTCTCAGCAGACAATACATTTGCCGTTGAAATTTCACAACTCAACTTCGTGCATACAGTAATTGTTATGGTCATCGGGTGCCTAAAATGGGCGCGTAATAATATGGAGCGTAATGGGTCAGCAATGTCATAAAAACAGTTTTTACAGGCATTCAAGGAAGGAGGAATGCTGTCTTAGCAAGATTTTTCCTCTTTTGTTTTAATAGATTTAATTCAATCGGTGAGACTCGGCACCGTTCCGAAGGTTCGTCCAGCTGTTCCTTCTGATTCGTGCAAGAAACAAACTCTAAATCTGATGAAAGCATGTTGGGATGAAGATCCAGAGAAAAGACCAACAATTAAGAAAATAATAATTGAAATTAAAGAAATCTCAGGTGGAGGGTATGTTCTTTGCCTGCGTTCAATATATCTGCTGATATTTTAGTTGCATGTCAATGTGCGTGTTGCTTGCATAGCTTCAGTAGTTATTATTTTAATTTTTTATGAAATTGTAAATAGTTATATTGTTGTATACCGGCGTTTATTGTACGATGTTGCCCGCTATTTTAGGAAGTTGTGTGCCACAGTCAAGTCGCTGCTGTATTTATCAAGAATTGATTTAATCTATTTAATAAATGAAAATTTACAGCATTTACAGTTTCTGATAAGGAGATCCGGTCTTGTCCTTTGTTTAAGAAGAGTGTTTATATTTGTATCTTGTCCTAGAGCCTGTCTTGTCCTTTAAAATGCTTAAACATTGATCTCTCTTTGTTACACGCATGTGCCCCGAGTACAAGTGCTCTACCCGTATATACATAGAGTGTAAAGATTGCCTCCAATCAAATTCGAATTTTCAACGAAAACTCAAGTGATAGGGTCTCTGCATATACAATATCCTGGTTGGAACGATTATTTTACTGTTTAGAATATAAACATTGCACTAACTGTCTTTATTAATGCTATACTTCTATAAAATATGTTTATGTAGAGCATAGGCTTATTTCATTTAATAATAATGTTTGTATATTCTTCAATATGTAATCGATATTATTATTCTTGTAGTAAGTTGTTTGTAAGTGAACAAAACATGGTTGTTTTTTTTACAGTGTATTTTTACTCATCTTACAGAACAATTAATATTATCGACAATATGATTAGAATGATGGAAAAATATGCAAATAACTTGGAAGAATTGGTTCACAGTCGGACGGTGCTGCTTGAAGAGGAAAAACAAAAAACGGACAAACTCCTTTACCAAATGTTACCTAGGTAGTTTTTATGCATTATTTAGGAACAATATAAACAATGTTCGTTTGCGGCGGTACCGTTTATTAGCAATTTAACTTCACTTTCATCCTAATTATAGTTTGTAAACAATGTGAAGTTTTTACTGCACTAGACCCATGATCGTGATAATATGATATGTATGTATCCACAAATAAGATCATGCAGCAAAATAATACGGTACACATTATGATAACGTAGCATACCGACAACAAAATCAGCTACATTACCGCTGTTGTCATAAATAACCATTATTATTATCATCATCACCTTAATAATAGCAAATTAATATGATATTAATATTTTTTGGTTCGATCAATCTTTTGTTTAAATATTTTAGATCTGTTGCTGATCAGTTGAAGATGGGTCTGGTGGTAGAAGCTGAATATTTCGACGATGTTTCCATTTATTTCAGTGATATTGTCGGTTTCACAAAGTTAGCGTCGGAGAGTTCACCCTTGGAGGTTAGTATCGTGTGGTCCAAACCGGAAGCATTGTGTGAGATAATATTTATTTCGATAATAATGAAAAACCAATACAATAATAAATATACATAGGTAAACAAAATAACAACCATCACAAAAAAAAAAAAAAACCAAAAAAAAAAAAAAAAAAAAAATGGAAAAACATAATCATCTTGGGTCCTAGCTAGAAGTAGGTCTCACAATTGGACCCAGTAAAGAGGTAAAAAGGAAGTAAATAAAACAAGACTAAAACAAAATATTAACTAAACAATAATAATAGGCCTATGTGCATACATTTTCCTACTTATATTTCTTTCAATTTAACTAATTCATATTTCTTCAAATTAAATAATTAATTACTAGATACATGTAATAGAGAGTTTAACTTGCCGAAGCTGAGACTGAAGTTTTTAGGTACAAATGTCCCTCCTATCTTTATTCACATTTAAATGATGCGGAACAGCAATACATTTTATTCTTTTAAAAATGAACTAAAAAGCGCTTTAATATAGCTAAATATTGTTTTTATTCATGGAATTTTTATGATAATTTTATGGATTATTGAGAATAACTTTAACATTGTTTTGTTATTTTTAATAGTTTTAAATTTTATAGAGAATATATATTTTCATTGTGTTTTTTTAAATATGTTTACTGCATGTTTTGTATATGTTATAATGTTAGACTTATATAGTGCTTAATTCCAACAGGGCCTCTAAGCGCTTCACATTATTACCCTCGGTCATTAGATCAAGCACATATGGACACTACTCAACTCTGGGGAGAATTCCATAATGTTGTAGCTATAATTAGCGCATTTTGTCTTTCAGCCTACCAGCCAGGTACCCATTGCACTCTTGTGTGGGAGAGAGGCAACCGTAGGCAAGGTGCCTTAAGCGAATTTACAGCGAGGGATTGAATCTCCGACATCGAAGTTGAGAAGCAGAACCGCAGACGCTCCGCCAAAGAGTCGGGTTGGCGAAATCTGTCCAGAATACGGGCTTTCTCAGTCCAGAATACGGGCTGTATGAGGGCGCTGTTGTCCAGGGAATACGGGCTTTCTCTGTCCAGAATACGGGCTGTGAAATCTGTCCAGAACACGGGCTATATGGGGGCGCTGTTGTCCAGAATACGGGCTTTCTCTGTCCAGATTTCGCCACACCTGCTGCCGCCAAACTGTGCCTACATGAGGGCCTCATTGAGTCAGCCTCGCTGTAAGACCTAACGTCATAAAGAAAGTTGAATAAATAAATAAAATAATAAATGAAAAATAAATAAATATATTAATTAATAAAAGAGACAGCATACTTAATTGAAGAACCACACATGATAATTCGTAGCAATGTTACACACGTCATTAAGTCCCGGTAAATTAGAGGAGCGGTTTTGCGCAGCTGTTGCGATTCGGCTTCTCAACCTCAGTGAGGTCGGAGGTTCAATCTGTCGCTATGCAATTCGCTTGTGGCCTTGGGTAAGACACTTCTCTGTTGTCTCCCTTCACTCTAGAGGACAAGTAGATGCCTGGTAGGTCCAAACACAACATGCGCTGATTATTAGCTGCAACTCTATAGAATTCTCTCCAGGGAGCTGAGTATATGTGTTCCAAATGTGTTTGATCCAATGACCGTGAGTTGTAACATATTTTTAATAATAAATGCTCACATGGTTAAAATTGTATAACTTTTTTGTTTTCTATTAGATTGTGGAAATGTTGAATGAACTGTACACAGCGTTTGATTCCATAATTGATAACTATAAGGTTTACAAGGTATGCTTCAATTATTTGTTGGTCTAATGTGATAAATTTATTAAAGAACAGGAAACTAATACCGTTAATCATTCAAACAAAGCGCAGCTTTACTTTTACATTTTGTGAAGACTTAGTCAGCTACTTATTCCAACTTGGCGCTTATACAAATTATTGTACAGTAGTTAAAAAAAACACCAGACCTATGTGACTTAATCTATTGTGTGTTTGGTTGATGCAGCCAGCCAGCGGTGACGCCAGAAATTGTCCGACGGAGGGACAAATTCACCCAGCCCCCATCCGCAGGCGCTTGCAACCAGCGTTTTATGTCTAGTTGCTACCAGTGGCGGCTTCAGGATATATTTTCTGGGGGGGGGGGGCTGGGGCTAAGTTTTCCAACTGGGGGAAGATTTGTTTAAAGAATATCAACCTCTGGATTGCCGAAAATGGCACTCTCGACTGTGACAGACATGTGTTGGCTTGGTGTGGGCCTATTTTTATATATTTTATGGTCTGATACTGCCCGACGAGCTCTGTCTGGCGGGGGCTTAACCTGTCCGGGAGGGGGGAGGGGGTTTAAGTCCCCCAGCCCCCCCCCCCGCTGGCGCCGCTACTGGTTGCTACAATCAAGAGTTACAATCGATCCAACAAAGGAAAAGCACTATCTATTTCCTTACATTCCAAAAAGGAGGATTTTGGATGCTATTTAAAATTTGCTGGAGATTGAAAATTGTGATCAATCACAAAAATCACAAAATCAGAAGCATGATCTCAAACATCAGAACCCAGCTTTTATTGTTTAAAACTGTCAGGGCCCCATTGAATGGAACTACGGTATTATAGTTTATATTATATATTTTTTAAACTACAATGTCGGGGCCCCTCGCGCCTGGGGCTTTGGCGCTCCCCCTCCCCTCCATCAGCGCCCGAGCGTGGCGCCACTGATGTAACAACTGTTGATTTTAGCAACCCAAAAACGAACGGCGCTTCAGAAAATACAGTACAAGTCTACCAATTATTCTCGCAAACTTTACATCCTATCGCGTTTTTTGTGTTTTAAGTTAACTTATTTTTTTTTGAAGTGTACAGTTTTTTGGAATATTTTAAAATCCTTAAGTTAAATTTATTTATTTTTTAAGTTTTTTTTAAAATTTTCAATGCAAAATAAATTCGGTCGTTAATATTGATCTTGGTACAATGTAAACCTGTAATCATTTGACTACTTATACAGAATGTTACTATATTATAGGCCTAGACTAGGACCAGGCCTCCTACTGTAGTATAGAGGCCTAGTCCAAGACCTTGTTGTAAATCCCAGCCCACATAAGCATAGCCTATAATGCCTAGCATTGGGCTTGTTTTCGCGTTACCCTGACCATTAAAAATTAGCAGACGCACTGGGAAGCGTTGTTCACGGCATTGGACTGCACCGAAAAATGATTCCCCCATCATTAATGGAACAGGCCCACGTCACGCTTGGCTGACTAGTTTGATTTACATTTCGCATGTCTTCTGTTGTTGTAAAATGTATTTCAAAAGAGTCATGCTTGGCTGGTTTGACATACTATGGGGTGCATTCAGATTATGTACTCGGCATAAAATGTTATCGTAACATTATGTTCTCGGCACATGTTCACATACCACACCGAACGAAAAAGTTCTTGAAATACGATCATTCAGATTATAACACCATGTTCTTGGCATTTATGCATGTGTAACATTTTGAGAGGAGCTCAGAGTCACTGTAGGCCTAACTTTATTTCCATTTTATTAAATTTGTCTCAGGGAATCCCGATCCCAGGGTCTTCTTGAAAATCCAAAGATTGTCGGATACCTTTTGGAACAGTTGCTTATTTCGAGATCCTTTGGTACTTTGTGCTTCTATCTCCCTTCCCAAAATTCAACTACGCAATTCATTTCGATGACTGCACTCCATGTGCTTATTCTGTCATGTTCAGAACATGTTTTCAGCATTTTGTTTTGTTCCAAAAAAATTATACATTCATTGGTGCTCTGCCATTCTGGCAGGTCTTATGGCATCCAGTATTTTAGAGCTGCCTCTTCTCAGCTCTTCTCTTAATTTGAAAATAACTGTCACCCTGTTTCATTTGATCAAACGCCCCGAGAAACGCGCTTTTCCTTACTCTCTGTGCTTTCCTCGGATGGATCTCGACCAGAAAGCGTATATTTTTTGTAGTTAGGCCTAGATAATTATGCAAAACCCAGACCTAACTAAAAAATAAAAATTGCCACAGTATGTAAATCAAGTTAAAATAACACTTTTTTACTCGTGCAGCTTAATCAAATATTAGATCCATTAGTATTAGCATGGTAACATCAGGGAGTTGTTAACAACTCCCTGGTAACATCAATGTATTTTTAAAAATTAGACAGCGACGTTCTCTTAGATCAGAAGTTTTTGATGACCTTTTGACCTGAATTCTGCAATATGAGATTTTCGGGTCGATTCAGTCGAGACGGCCCGAGTGGAGTTTCATGTAAATGTTTCGTACGGACAAAAAAGAAATCGCCCACTGCTTATGGCACAGGCACACAAAATGTAAATCAAAACTAGTCAGCCAAGCGTGACGTGGGCCTGTTCCATTAATGATGAGGGAATAATTTTTCGCTGCAGTCCAATGCCGTGAACAACGCTTCCCAGTGCATCTGCTGATATTTAATGGTCAGGGTACCGAGATCACAAGTTCAGGAGGAACGGACGGACGCACCCCCCCCCCCGTTGTTCACGGCATTGGACTGCAGCGAAAAATTATTCCCCCATCATTAATGGAGCAGGCCCACGTCATGCTTGGCTGATTAGTTTTGATTTACATTTCGCAAGTCTAGTGCCATACGCAGCAACAGTGTGACCACTGCTGCCAAGATCTTGGGTATTTTGACTTGGTCTTGGGTTATGGGTATTCCGTTCAAATCCTTGGGTATTTTATTTTTACTAAGAAAATTAAACATTTTTGTCAAAGGGGAAGAATTAAGAAGTAACAAAGTATATGTCAGTCCATTCAAGTAAGCAAAACTCAACGAAGTGCACACAGTGGTTGCGCCAGGACCTTCCCGACGGAGGGGCTAAAGGCCCCGGTGGAGCGAATCGAGTCTCACTTGGCTGGGGGCCAGGGGGGGGCCGCCCAGGGTCCCGGTGGGGGCCACGGATATTTGATGAATTATGGCGAATTTTTATTACTTATCTGATAGGCATCGAGTTACTACAGTATAATAATGACTTCATGTAGGCTATGCTTTTTAATGTTGAAATCAGCTTCCAAAACCAAAACATTTTGAACAAAGCAAGAAACAGAGTATGCAATGTAACCATCTAATTTATTTTCAAATCCTCATTCTTGAAAGTAAAATGCTATATTTTGGAAATTTTGCATGAAATCTGTAACCACGTTGTCATGGTCGAGGTTGCTTCACCTATCACGATGTATTCCAAACATCATGATGCTATCTAAATGAGCATTTGTCATAACAGAACGCAAATTATTTTTAATTAGTCTCATTCAATTATTATTATTATTATTATTATTATTATTATTATTATTATTATTATTATTATTATTATTATTATTGTTATTATTATTGTTGTTGTTGTGATGAAAAGTTAAACGATATGGTGGCTAAACGAATATTACATGTAAATATTTTTTTTTATTTGTTTGTTCCCCGACAAAATTTATCGTCTTTCCTGACAGGGGTGGGGGGGAGATCCCCCTCTCTGGCGCCACCACTGAGTGCACATAACATTGTTAATTGACTGTTAATTGCTATAAACATGGGTTCAGAATTGTTTATTTGTGATTTGCTTTGCCATTGATCTTACCTAATTAATGCATTACATAATAAAACTTGATCACTGATCTACTGATAACACTGGCCGACTGAGGGCGTATTTTCCTATCTGTATTATCACCTCATGAATATTAATTTTAATAATTAACACAAACAATTAGAATAAAACATGGTTTATAAATTGAACTAAAAGGGAAACTATACATACGTAAAACACGTTTTTTCAAATTTTAATGCATTTTCAGGAAGCCTGGGTAATTTTGGGCAATTTCTGCTGAATCTTGGGTAATTTTGACCCAGTCATTGGTATATCAAAAATTGTGAGTGGTCGCGCTGCGCAGCTAAAGTCCATGTTCTAGTGTTGTTGTAAAATGCATTTCAAACCAGGCTGGTTTTTGATTTACGTTTTGGAATAGAATTTTGAGAGGGCGTTTGATCAAGTTAGACCTACGTTTTGAATTTGAATTCCATTAAAAAAATTAGAACTTCATTTTAGGAAACTAGATCTACATTTTGAGAAATTTACGCCTACGTTTTAATAAATTAGACATTGAATTTTGCATTTACATTTTGATTTTAACATGGACTTTTGCTGCGTATGGCACCCCATACATATAGGCCTATACGATGTTTTACTCCAGGTAGAGACAATCGGAGATGCTTACATGGTAGTATCGGGTCTGCCGGAAAGGATAGGCAACAGCCACGCGTCCGAGATAGCAGTCATGTCCCTAGAATTACTGGCCAAAGTGAAAAATTTCAGCATCAGACATAAGCCTGGATATCGCATGCAGTTACGCGTTGGAATTCATTCAGGTAAAGCGCCCTCTTAATATATTAAAAGTGACACTATTGACGCACATCTTTTTAGTGTATTTTTAATTTTGTCAACCAGGGGTGGATTCCAGAATCTTTCAAACGATGGAGAGGGGGACAACATTCAGAATAGATAAGTGAATAAACACTTATTTCACTAAATAAAATTGATATGCATTGATTCGCGCCTGTCAACTAACTTCTATTTTAAGATTTTAATTTTCAAGCATAATTTTTTTTTCTGATTGACAGGTTCGGTTGTTGCTGGGGTTGTTGGATTAAAAATGCCAAGATATTGTCTTTTTGGAGACACAGTAAACACAGCATCTAGGATGGAATCTGGCGGCCTAGGTATAGTCTGACTCCCACCTCTACCACCATTTCTGCTACTACTACCACTAAACAGTGCCTATATTGTTAACACTCAATAATATTACTACAACTACTATTACCGTACTACTTTGTTGCTACTACTACTCTATCTTTGTTTCTACTACTACTGCTACTACTACTACTACTACTACTGCTACTGCTGCTACTGCTGCTGCTGCTGCTGCTGCTGCTGCTGCTGCTGCTGCTGCTGCTGCTGCTGCTACTGCTGCTACTACTGCTACTACTGCTACTACTGCTACTACTGCTACTACTGCTACTACTGCTACTACTGCTACTACTGCTACTACTGCTACTACTGCTACTACTGCTACTACTGCTATGCTACTACTACTACTACTACTACTGCTGCTGCTGCTGCTGCTGCTGCTGCTGCTGCTGCTGCTGCTGCTGCTGCTGCTGCTGCTGCTGCTGCTACTACTACTACTGCTGCTGCTGCTGCTGCTGCTGCTGCTGCTACTACTACTACTGCTACTGCTACCACCACTAATACTACTACTCTACTACTACTACTACTACTACTACTATTACTACTACTGCTACTGCCCCCTCCACCACCGATGCGCCACCACTTTATTTTTACTAATACGTTTTCACAAATATAGTACTATTTTTTTTAAACTCCAAAGCAATGATGATCCAAGTAAGTAGCGCAACACATCATGTTCTGTGTACCCATGGCGGGTTTCAACTTGAAAAGCGTGGACAAATATCAGTAAAAGTAGGTGCATAATTTAGTGTTGTATAACAAAATAGCGATTTCAATCGAAATCTAACGGTCATTACCAATCCACAAACTATTAATTGTGTATTTGAAGAGGGTTTTTTTTCATTGAATGAAAGGTTGAAACTCTTAGTTAATAATTTAAAAGGTAGGTCTACATAGTTTTCATTGTAGAAATGACAACAATAGAGTCTATTTCAAACAGCAACAATTAACAAATACGGTAGTGTATTATGTTTCATAACAATTCAAATGTTATCATGTGGTGGACGACGAGAGTTGGTACCGGGTTACCGGGTAGCACAAACACGAAGGGACCCTTAGGGGAGAAGAAAGTCATTGATCGAGTTGCTAGTCCACATATTAAGCGCCCTGAGCATCTTATATTAGATGGATATGTGCGCTATATAAAACTACACTATTATTATTATTATTATTATTATTATTATTATTATTATTATTATTATTATTATTATTATTATTATTATTATGTAAAGATAAGTATAATGAAGCGTGAGATTATGCGTTCGAGACCAACGATCATCACATTGCTTGTATCCTTGAACAAGACATTACTGTATCTAAGTGTGTCTCTATTCACCCGGGGCTAAAGCTCTGTCACGCTACCAACTTTTCTTTGACAACAAAAATCCTGTTGTATGCCCATATATAGTCATGATCAGAGAGGCGGATTGCTATAAAACGGTCTTAACTGGTAGTCTTAACTCCTCGAATAAAAGTCATACTTCTAAGACCAGTGCTATAAAACAGTCTTTTCTAAGACCGCTTTGAGTATTGAAACAAGCACTCCCTGCTAACGTAAGATTGAGGGCGGCGTCATGCGTGCTCGACGCACGCAAATGTATCGAAATGAACGTAAATAAACGCCGTAGACCTATTTTTACAGACGCTGAGAAGTGTGCGGAGTATTAGTCGTTCAATTCTCCGACTTTGACGATCTAGGCCTAGGTCTTGCCATTGCACTGTTAAATTTATCAGCAGAACGTCATGATGAAAATGATTTAAGACCGTTTTAAGCCTCCTCCGAGTAGGCTTTAAAATTTAAGACGGCTAACTGGTTAGACCGCAGTATAACAATGGTCTATAATTATATACCAGTAGGGACGTCACGATTATAGCCGGCTAACGGTTAAGACCGTCTAAAGACCCCTTATAGCAATCCGCCCCTGATGTCATCATTACCAAATAAAATGTGATAGTCAGGATAGTGCTTAAGCCCCATTCCCGGCAAACTTTCAGTTTTTAAGAAAAATCTAATTTTTGTATAATGTTATATAATACGGAATTGCTAGTTTAACTAAATTTAGACATTCCTAAGAATGAAAAAAATGTAAAATAAGACTGAAATTTGATTTTTTGTGTTCCACACAAAAAATAAATGCGGATAATTTTTCATTTTGATTTTGCGATAGGTCGTGAGAAGAAATATCGTAGGCGCCGAAAACATTAGCCTATCCAGCGCTGCTAGGCTAGGCCTAGCCTTACCTCGATTTAGGTTCTCTTATCACACATAAAAACGGCCGACATGATATTTTCCGTTGCTAGTATTGACACTTGTAAAATATAATATTTCATAGGAATTATTTCAAATTTGTTAAAAAACTGATTCTGACTGAGATTTTGACACTTAAACAAACATATCTCAGCCTTAATCGAACGACCGCATTTTGCGAGATACGAAGTACAAAAACTAATCTCATTAGAGAGGGCGCACTTTATTGACTGTATAAAAGTATATATAAAAGCGAGAGTATTTCAGTGGATGCGATCTACAACCTCTGAATTTGCCTAGTAACGATGAATTCGTCCAGAAAATGGTAATATTTTATGAGAAATATTCTGTATTTCTCATTTTTTGCGTAAAACTAAAATTCATGCCAATATTTTTCCTTGATTTGTAATAATTGGAGTAATGCAAATGAATATTTTCTAAAAAAAAGTCAGTTTTTAGTGAAATTTTGCCGGGAATGGGGCTTTAAGTAGGTTAATGTTTTGAAATGAAATTTTAAGCGCTATATCTCTCGTAGCTAGGAATACACCCGTAAGAGAGCGGAGGAAGTTGCATGTTGTACATCATTTATGACCCAGAGGGGAAAGAGCTTTGTATCTGAAAGAAGGCAAGTTTCCCCAAATTTACGATTGCCGACAATTATATTATGTTTCAATAAAATAGTATTGACATTTTTGTGTGAATGCCAAGTAGCGCGGATCGGTGGGTCACAGAATTCGTAAACTAAGCCGATTTTGGAGCCTCAACCCACGGTCTAATATGATTAATATATTCTACAATTACGACATTATAACCAAGCGGTAAGTGATCGATTTAATTGAAATTAATTGGAACTTGGATGTAAAGTATACCTTTTTGCTAATATCCTATGTTATTCAACCCGGGAAATAATGGATGATTTAAAACATGCATTTATGGTTGTGTATGCTTTAACTTACAAAGCTATAAGTAGAATAGTGCAGGTGCACCTGACTCAGGGTGGCAATCTCATCGAGCTTTGCTATTATCGGTCATTCCCTACTGTTTTCATTTGTTTGTTTAATTGAAAATAATGTATCTTGTAATGGTTTTATTAAAACGGTAAATAAACTTGAACTGTAAATTAATTATTATTGATTCAGGTAATGTGAAACTCAAAAATGTGTAAAAATGTATGTAGCGCCCTCTATACGTAACCGTGAGTTGAGTGTAGTTCTAAAGCAATATAAATATTAATGAGGTACATCATTATTTTACACTCTAAAAATCCACGAGCTTGATAAGTTCACGCCAGCGAACATCTTCTGGTGACAGTCACCAGAAGAAGTTAACATGCACAACATCTCTTGTCTTTTACATTTAAGTTGGTGGTATATATTATATTGGCCAAATATCTGAAGAAAAAACTACCGTCATTTGGTGAAAATGAAATTATAAATGAATTGAGCCATGGTAGATTGGTTATTTTTGTTTTATGAAGTATTAATGCAGCCTTTGATACCATTTATAATATATGGACCAAGAGGTTTTTTTGTGAAATTGCTTTATCTGGCCCCTGACTATTGAATAGCCTTTATTAATTGTGCAATCTTTTAAAGACGTTATGAAAACACTGAGAATTTGTTTGATTCATACTGTAAAAAAATAAAAAATAAAAATAAGATTCATAAGAAATACTTTTAATATTTATTATTATGGTTGTGTCTCTGTATTGGGTTTTTGTGCAAAGCTTTTTCCAGTTTATAAAACTGATAATGTATGCTTCTTACTGATTCTTTAAAAAATGCTGATTACTTCTTAAACAATATCATTATTTATATAGAAAATGACCCCAATAATTTAAATATTTTGCGACTGTTTGCATTTTGCAAGAACACGCCGCATTAAGCATTATTATTTACTGTGGAGGGTGACTTGTTATTATAGTGAGCAAACTTTAAGTTGTTTAACTTGTATTGTTTCCAAAAACACAAGACCATTCATTTTTATTAGCCTAACGAATAATGTTTTAAATCTGAATATAATAAGTTTATTCTCATAAATACACAGTATAACCAAAACAAATCACCAAACCTATAACACGACCTCCTTTTCACGTGAAGAGATGTCATGAAGAGACTCTCAAAAAGTGGTAGCGCACCATCTTCCAGATTAAGCGTTTAAGCCATTGGTCCGGCGTGCAATTATAACAATGTTTACTTTAAAAAAGCAGTGATGTCACCGAATCTGATACTTATCAGATCTATTAGGTAGAATCGAGTGGAAAAAGATAGTACTGTATACTCATTAGAAAAGTAGATTTGTCTCCTGGTGTAGAGCCCCATTCACCATCAGAAGGACCCTATTCTTTGTGTGATTTTACATCAAAACACTCCTAATTCGCAAAAGATTTTAACACATAAATTTATGCTCACTTTGACCAGCAACCAAAGTGCCTTTGGTGTCCACATGAGATAATTAAAATTTTAATTCAAGTTCAAATCATATTTATGTCTAAGGATTACTCCTTTGTAACACAATTTTATCAAACACATTTAGTCTTTATTATTTTCAGCTCTTTGTTAATTGTTACCATCAATGTAACTCTCCCCCACCCCCATAAATGCTTCTTCGTATGTACGAGATATTAGTTAATATGACACCCAGGCCAATTTCTTAAAAAATGCAATTAAACTTCCTATTATGAGCTCGAAATGTTTAGGCTCGAGGCTGGACAAGAATTCACAGAAGCCCAAATAATTGATAACGCCTTAGATCCCTAGTACCGTACCAGTCGGTAGCAGGGCGGATTTAAGAGAAACAGTTATCGGCAGCTTGTAGTGTACGACAATAAATTATTCGTTTGCTTGTAAATGTAACAATAAAAAATTCTTGTATTCTTGTATATTTTTATATTGCATTATTATTAACAAGTTTCCTATTTTTCACTGTTAATATCAGTTCATATATAAGTAGACTTATATTAGGCCTGCTACCCTTTTTTTTGTTTATCCCAATTTAACTGTCGAGCTACATTGATCTATTATCCTATTATAGGATTGAATCATTTTTTATCGAATCATGTAAGTTAATGCTTTACTAAGCCATTTAAAAATGTATTGTAGGTCTATGAAAAATATAACACCTAGAGCTTGATTGATGATTCAGCGCGCCTGTCATGTTATCATGGCATGGTATAAGTGCGTACCCGTGCGTACATTAGCTGTTTAGAAGATTCAGTGTGTGGCATGACACAGTGGTAAAAATGCTTTGGAGAGTCAATGAAAGTTGCCGTGTTTGATTTCGATACTGTACAATCATATAGGCCTACTACCAGAGAAAAAATATTAAAAAAAAAAAAATTTGTTCTGCAACAGAAAAGGAGATAACGCTTAATAAAAAAACACAAAAAAAAAACACAGATCACTGCGTTACTATCTTTTGCTTATAAAATTTTGAAAAAAAGTTAATCCAAAACAGAATTAAGTGCTACATCTCAATCAGGACAAGGTTAGGAAAACTGAGGTAAGATGCAACAATGATCAAAGACGGTCATTGTTAAATATATAAAAGGGCAAAA